TAAGATACCTAGGAATAAACCTAACCAAAGAGGTAAAGGATCTATACCCTAAAAACTATAGAACACTTCTGAAAGAAATTGAGGAAGACACAAAGAGATGGAAAAATATTCCATGCTCATGGATTGGCAGAATTAATATTGTGAAAATGTCAATGCTACCCAGGGCAATTTACACGTTCAATGCAATCCCTATCAAAATACCATGGACTTTTTTCAGAGACTTAGAACAAATTATTGTAAGATTTGTGTGGAATCAGAAAAGACCCCGAATAGCCAGGGGAATTTTAAAAAAGAAAACCATAGCTGGGGGCATCACAATGCCAGATTTCAGGTTGTACTACAAAGCTGTGGTCATCAAGACAGTGTGGTACTGGCACAAAAACAGACACATAGACCAATGGAACAGAATAGAGAATCCAGAAATGGACCCTGAACTTTACGGTCAACTAATATTCGACAAAGGAGGAAAGACGATCCACTGGAAGAAAGACAGTCTCTTCAATAAATGGTGCTGGGAAAACTGGACATCCACATGCAGAAGAATGAAACTAGACCACTCTCTTGCACCATACACAAAGATAAACTCAAAATGGATGAAAGATTTAAATGTGAGACAAGACTCCATCAAAATCCTAGAGGAGAACACAGGCAACACCCTTTTTGAACTTGGCCACAGTAACTTCTTGCAAGATACATCCACGAAAACAAAAGAAACAAAAGCAAAAATGAACTATTGGGACTTCATCAAGATAAGAAGCTTTTGCACAGCAAAGGATACAGTCATCAAAACTCAAAGACAACCTACAGAATGGGAGAAGATATTTGCAAATAACATATCAGATAAAGGGCTAGTTTCCAAAATCTATAAAGAACTTATTAAACTCAACACCAAAGAAACAAACAATCCAATCATGAAATGGGCAAAAGACATGAAGAGAAATCTCACAGAGGAAGACATAGACATGGCCAACATGCACATGAGAAAATGCTCTGCATCACTTGCCATCAGGGAAATACAAATCAAAACCACAATGAGATACCACCTCACACCAGTGAGAATGGGGAAAATTAATAAGGCAGGAAACAACAAATGTTGGAGAGGATGTGGAGAAAAGGGAACCCTCTTACACTGTTGGTGGGAATGTGAACTGGTGCAGCCACTCTGGAAAACTGTGTGGAGGTTCCTCAAAGAATTAAAAATAGACCTGCCCTACGACCCAGCAATTGCACTGTTAGGGATTTACCCCGAAGATTCAGATGCAATGAAACGCCGGGGCACCTGCACCCCGATGTTTCTAGCAGCCATGTCCACAATAGCCAAACTGTGGAAGGAGCCTCGGTGCCCATCGAAAGATGAATGGATAAAGAAGATGTGGTTTATGTATACAATGGAATATTACTCAGCCATTAGAAACAACAAATACCCACCATTTGCTTCAACGTGGATGGAACTGGAGGGTATTATGCTGAGTGAAGTAAGTCAATCGGAGAAGGACAAACAGTGTATGTTCTCACTCATTTGGGGAATATGAATAATAGTGAAGGGGAATATAAGGGAAGGGAGAAGAAATGTGTGGGAGATATCAGAAAGGGACACAGAACATAAAGACTCCTAACTCTGGGAAACGAACTAGGGGTGGTGGAAGGGGAGGAGGGCGGGGGGTGGGGGTGAATGGGTGACGGGCACGGAGGGGGACACTTGACGGGATGAGCACTGGGTGTTATTCTGTATGTTGGTAAATTGAACACCAATAAAAATTAATTTATAAAATAAAAAAAAAAAAAAAAAAAACAACACAAAAAAAAAAAAAAAAAAGCCAAAGCATGATTCAGGAAAACAAAAACTTAAGGATCATATTCTTTGAAGGGCTACTCCTTTAAGTGTGTCTAAATTCTTTAGAGATTTACACCCTACACATCTACTTCCTATTTTTGTGATTTTTTACTCCTTATGACTTAAAGAATACTAGTGCTTAGAATTCTGTATGTAAAAAATGATAAAGATCAGATCTATTACAGCACCAGAACAAACTCCATTGCCTTTCTCTTGTCTCCAGCCCAACTAGAAAATAAGAGAAGTACAAAATATTTAATGTGAATTCAGTTTTCTAAGTGAGCTATCTTGAAAAGATTCTTGTTCTAGGCAGTTTGGTGGAGGAGCTCTATTTCACATATATTATAAACAAATAAGGAACACACCAGTTATAAAGACATTTGTGTTAGGTACCAGTGAATATCAGCATTTGGGCTAATAGTCAAAGAAAATAAATTTAAGTTTCAGCTCCCTGGCTGACAGTATGTGTAGAAATATAGGTTAACCAATAATATTGTTCTTGAATGATGACATTTATAACATTTATTACTTCATCAATAGAATTAGCTCACACATATGACAAACAAATGGTTGTTACTATCAGTTAATTCAAGTTAAACAACAAGAGGAGTTTTGCAATTTTGAGTTTCAGTGTATTCACCTCACTAATCCTTACATCTAACAAGAAAATCAATACCTTTGTAATAATTAGCTTTGGGTTTTTGGGATTCTCTGCTTCTGGGCAGCTGAATGGGGTTCTACTTGAAATAATTACTGCCAGAACTACAATCAGTTTTCTTGCAAAATCAAATCAACTCATCTATACTATTTTTAAGGCTCTGTTCTCTGAAACCTGTTAAACAATGCCAGGATTGAAAATACCCATTACATTTCTATGCTTTTTATCCGTCTTTGAAATTTCAAGATTTGGAAAATTTACAGTGAGATGAGCTATGCATTCATTTTCCTGATATAGCATAAGAAAAATAAAGTAACTCCCACATATCTTTCTCTACCCAAGATGACAGGCAATCTCAAAAAAAGTTTAAATACTCCAAGCATTTGAAAATATTCCATAGGGTAAAGTCAAAAATTTTTAAGAGGCTGTTTAAAAAAAAAAAAAAAAAAAAAAAAAAAAACGGCTCTGCAAGTGATTTTTCCTTCCCTTCCTGCATTTTTACAAAATTAAAATTCCAGATCAGCCACTAAGAAAAGATATTCCAAAGAAAATGCAATGATTGTCCTGGTAGATTTACTCCCTCGATAGCTCTCTATTATTCTTAGCACTGAATTTCAGTAGACACTAAAAGTTAGTTTTTTATCACAGTTGCGCTGTTCTCTGAATACTTTGTGGTTCAAGCAGTTTAAAGAGCTGTGTGTTAGTTACGTCCATGGTACTTAGAGATTTTTAACTGATAGGAAACTCTCTGGGAGGAAAATGATGCTTCCTTCAGAAAATAAGAAGGGGCACCTGGGTGGCTCAAGCCTGTTAATAATAAGCAGCCCTTGGATCAGGTCATGACCCAAGGGTCATGGGATCAAAACCACATTGGGCTCCCTTGCTCATCATAGAGTCTGCATCTCCTTCTCCCTCTGCCCCTTCCCCCACTCTTGCATGCATTGTCTCAAAAATAGATAAATAAAAATTTTTAAAAAAAGAAAATAAGGGATAACTAAGTTAATAGCTAGAAAGCCATTGATAATATTCCTACTTAAGTAGTGAATAAACAGAAAAACCAACTGCAAACACTTTCTTAATGGCTGGGTGACTTTGGATTTTGATGACTTTGCTCTTCCTAGACAGCACTGGAGAACTAAAAATAAGCAGCTGACAATACCTCACCATTTATTTTGTGAATCAGATGGACAAGAGTTAACAAAAGTGTAAGGTTTGCAACCATCTGAGTCACAATGAAAATAGACAAACATACAACTATTACAAAACAAAATTTTATATATATGAACCAAAAGACTATTGGTGGTCCACTTATTAATGAGAAGCTTCCATATTAAGTTCAGATCACATTTCTTTAAAAAAAGAATCTGGTGTCATTTTCGTTTATGATTTTCTTAGTGATGGTTCACATTTCCCATGTCTTCAGATATATTAAGAACCAAGGGAAAAAAAACAAAAACAAAAACAAAGAGAATGTCTCATATACTCTAACAGTATCAAGATAATGATTCTCAAAGGGTTTTTTTTTTTTTTTAAGATTTCATTTATTTATTCATGAGAGACACACAGAAAAAGAGAGGCAGAGACACAGGCAGAGGGAGAAGCAGGCTCCATGCAGGGAGCCTGATGTGGGACTCGATCCCGGGTCTCCAGGATCAGGCCCTGGGCTGAAGGTGGTGCTAAACTGCTGAGCCACCCGGACTGCCCATGATTCTCAAAATTTAAAGTCAAATTGTTGTGGACAGACACCACCTTACAGAATTGTTATGAGACTTAAATGATATATATCAGATGTCCAGAACGTGTTAGTCTTTTCCATGTAATAAATGTTCACCTAAACCTGTTTGTCACAGACAACTGGGTACCCTACAGCTAAAATAAAGCATATGGGTATTTAACTTGAAAAATGTTTACTGAATCTCTGCTACGCACTAGCATGGGTATGATAGCTATACCTTAGACAAGAAGAAAAGAGGTTCATGAAACAACATTCTATGCTGCCTACCACATGTTATGAACTATGGCACAGATGAAAATTAAAAACATACAGAAGAATATGGGGTCATTTCTTTCTAGTGATACATAGTTTTATAATCCTACAATTTTCTTCTGTCTCCAACTGTATGATAAGACTTGTAGCATGTATATGGAAGGAATCAGAGACTGAGTCCTCTAAGGCAAGTAAGCTAATCGCTTCAATGTAGGTTACTCAAATCATGTTTCAAGCCAACCAGTGTTTCACCATCTGGTACACTCCCTTCTTTTTATTTCCTCACATCTCCCAGGACTTCGGAAGCACAGCATCTGAAATAAAATCCTGGGGGCACTTATCAGCCTTTCAGCTGAAATGAGTAAATCAATGTATACTCCAAGCAGATATAAAGCAGGATTTGCATCTGTGGCTGCAAAATAAATGTGTTGGCGTATTTCCTCTTAACAGAAGGAAAAAGGCAATTCTTAATGGTGAAAAATTAGAACATTATGCAATCTCCCTGCAAAGACAGAGGTTACCTTAGGATCAGCTGTGAGCAGTTTGAAAGCTTGATAGACTTGAGCTTCCTTTACACCACCACCAAGATCCAAGAAGTTGGCTGGCTTCCCACCTTTCAGGAGGATGATGTCACAAGTAGCCATGGCAAGTCCAGCACCATTCACTGGGAAATGTAAATGGCACACAAGACAGGATAAATTTAGCAACATGAAAGGGTGCCTCAACTATTTCCCTCCCCCATAATGGCAAAGAGAACCCTGTCAGTACAAGGTCAATCTGTCCTGCCTGGAACTATGTTCAACCAGGTAAATTCATAGACTTTTAGGGTAAATCAGGAAATATGCATACAAAGAATACCCAACACAACAACAACAAACCCCTGGGAATACGAAGACAGGTTTGTTGAGAAATTAAATCAGTCTGGGAAACAGATAAAAGGGGAGAGTTTACATAATTCATTAATTTGGACTAGTAGTAGAAGAGGGAACTTTGGGTTCTGGAAAAATACAGAACTCAAAAGAACCCAGAAAGAGAGAAGGCGGCTACAAGAATTTGCTTGAGTCTGTGAATTACATTCTTTTTAACATCTTTTAAGAGACCTGGGTAAAAAATGGAATTCGTTTAATTTTTCGCTTGCTGAGAATATGTTCCTTTGAATGTAGCATCCCTCTGGGGTAGAACCACAGGGGTCCCTACTTCAATAGGGCTCCATACTTTTTTACACTCGGTGCAACCAAGCATGTTTATAGGTTATGTGGATAAACTCAGAAAACAAATGAATAAATGAGAGCACCAAAATGATATTCTTATCCCTTTGTTCATTCTTCAATGTAATATAAGAAATGTTCACTAGCAACCTGATCATTAAAACTAGAACCAAAATGTGCTAACATCTTAGGAGCTTTTTTTTTTTTTTTTTTTTTTCTTGTAAGAAGACAGAGTTTTAACACTGCAATTCTTGTTTTTCAGGGCTGAGTTTTATTGACTAATTGTACTTCTTTTGCTTCTTATGCTTAATTACATGAAATTACTTTCCTCAGGTTAGAAAGAAAAAAAAAAAAGCAGACCTCCTGAACACAGCAGAAATTCTCAAGGTAAAATATACTTCACTTTTTCTGACCTTTGAATTCCTCAGGCAAGCCTCTGAACTGTGACTAATTTAATTGAGTCTGGGGCAACTACAATAAAAATGGTTTATATACGATCTTAAAACAATTTGAAATGTGTTAATCGTCGCTTTTGAGGCTGCTAACTTGGTCAAATCATGCATACTCCCACAGAGGCTACAAAGAATCTGTATTTAATTTGTTCTAAACACACCATTGTATCATTCTCCTTTCTAAATGCCTACAAATATTGAGAGCGCATTAGCTTATCAAGATCAGAACAATGTGAGTGATTTGGTAGATTACAGTTATTACTCCGATACAAAGCAAGAGCTCTTGGTATCACTTGTAATTAGATGTCATTTTCTATTGTATTGCTCAGCAGACTACCAGATGAGGTCTGTTCAGTTCTGAATATAATAATCCTGTTGCTTTAATGAGCTACAAATCTTTTTTATTTTAATTCCATTAAGATTAAGACCTCAGTTTCCAGTGCAATGAATTGGTTCCACCAGAAACACAGATGGGTATAAATCTCAGCTCTATAAGCTGTGGACAATAACAGAAATTGTATTGCTTCTATAGACCCATTCTTATCTCAGCTGAATAAGCCATTTCCACAAATTTAGATGAGTATGATAAAATCAATTGTTTTATTAATAAACTGGATAATGGATTAAACATTTTATCATTTGGTTATCATAAAAGCTGAAACTGGAGTATAATGATTCAAGTGTATGTTCTCTTCTACTTCCTCTGAGAAATGTTATCTTAAACCCAACTTTCAGAATAGTTCCTAGCATATTAACAATGACTGGGGCAGCAAAGATTTTGATTTTTATTAAGCAAAATTTAGCTGAGATGCTTTAAAATAGTATTTCTCAGCTGAGGTTATTTTACATACCAGAAGATACTTGCCAGTGTTTGGCGACATATTTGATTGTCACAATGTGGCAGGGCAGGGGGGGAGGGAGGTGACACCTAAAGACCAGAGACACTTCTAAATATCTGACAATGTATAGGGCAGTCTCTTCCCCAGCAAAGAATTATCCCACCCAAAATGTCAATAGTGCCAGACTTGAGAAACCCTGCTTTAAACCAATGATCACTGAGCAAATGAACTTTGGGAGGAAACTGAATTGTTTCCCAACACTTTTGGGCTACAAAAACTCCTAGTTTTACTGGCTACAGGGAAATAACCATTTCAGAAAGGTTCAGAAATAAATTCCTAAATTCTGCAAAAATTCACAAATTATGCTTTTGATAGAACTACTTTCTTACCAAAGCAGGCAATGTTCCCATCCAGTCCTATATATTTTAGATCATATTTGGCAGCTTCATTTTCAATGGGCTCATTCTCCGATTTGTCATCCATAGCAAATATGTCCTTTTGTCGGAATTCTGCATTATCATCAAAGTTTATCTTTGCATCAAAACAGACAACTAAATAAAGGAAAAAAGACACCAAATGAATATCTCTTAAGGATCTATAAATTAGTTCCCCAGGCTGGCAGGCACAGGAGAAAGAAAAATAAGATACTGTCATCTTTTTCATGATATGAGTGGGAGAAGCTATTACAGCTTCCTTGATCTTAAACTTTAGGGCTACACAAATAGAGTGGCATAGTCCCTGTCCTCAAAGGACTTACATTCTAATAAAGAGCACAGTAACTTATGCCTGTTGGTCTCTGTTTAATAAAACAATAATATAAACTGTGGTCATCCATTAAAAGTTATAGACTGCCATATGTACATACAGCTTTGATTTGCCATTTTTATTACATTTTGTATTTTTAGTATATAACCACTCATCATCGCCTTTACCTTCTATGCAAAGAAAAACTAGATTATGACACTTAATCCCACTATCCTCCTTTGTCTTTCTTCTGATGCTGCAAAGTGAAATTTCTATTTAATCAGTATCCTCACTAATAATTCTGAAAGAGTTAGTGGGAAGAACACCCGGTTACAATCAACAGTTTTTTACTTGATCCTTTAACTCTGTAACTTGATTAAAAAAAAAATTAGCCTACTTCCTTTTGGGGCCTGTTTTCTTATTTGGAAAATGGATATAACAATCCCCAATCTGCTGATAAATTTAATTTGGGGTCTGCTCAAACTGGACCATCATCCTGATATGTGCAGGATAGGATTCTTTTGATTCAGGTTATAAAACACTAAGAGACCAAGACTGATCAGATATAATGGAAGGTGGCCAGGCATTATCATTTCTACTGTCTCTATTCTCTGGTGCAGGTAGAAATCTCTAACTCTCTCAACAGCCAAGAGCCCTGGACACAGTTGAAACTCGCTGGGTGATATGAATGGACCATGGAAAGAGAACTTTCCTTGATTTACAGGATATCTTCTATATGAACTGTCAGGGAGAGACTGCAGTGGGGAAGGGGGGCATGCAGGTTTCTGGAATCTTACCCCTTTTATTATATCACTTAGGGTAGAAGTCAGTTGTGTATGATGACATTCCATCCTAACCTCTTGCTTTACTTCAGAATTTGATAGGCAGGGATCTTTGACCTACACTTTGGAGAAATTACCCATTCTCCTCCAGCATTGCTACAAGGTACCTAGTTCTTCAAAGGGAAACAACCTGTAATAATTCTCTCAAAAGCAATGACCATGGTCTGTTAATCCCATTTGTTTACATACTGTTAACATTACAACGTCCTAGAGCTACAGATCCTACCTAAAGGCTCTATACCAGGGTCTCTCTGCCACAAAAAGCAAACACTTTGATATAAATCTATGCAGAACTGGCATATTAATATCTAAGAATGCTTGGCATACATGAAAGCCCAAACCACAAGCTATTTAAAGTAACACTGACTGACAAGAGAGAGCTTATACAGAAGTTAATGTCTGCCAGAGTCCTTGGTCTTGCCACAAAATGTCCAACCACTTTACCCACACACTGTGAATACATGGAACAAATGAGTAATTACTGTCCAGAATGCTGTAATCTTAATGATGGAATCCTACAATTACCAAAGGAATTGGCCAACGTTCTCTGCTTGCTACAAGAGCATTTTGTCAGCAGCTAATGACTGGTATAATAATCAATAGGAAAGCAACTTCATTGTTGGCTTTCCATTAGGCTTATAAATAAATTTTAATTAATTTATTAGTAATTTCAGCTCTTCCATTACTCATTGGCAAGACTGTTTGTAACCGACACCTTCAAAATGAATGGGCGAAGGCTATCAAATTGACTTCCTAACTGAAGAGTTTCAAAAAAAAAAAAAAAAGAATTCTTGGTCAAGATCAATAAACTAGTAAATCAAAATAGATCCTGGCTGATCTTTGCCCCTTACAAAGACTATAGCTCCAAGCTCCTTGAGAGAACATAATTAAGGCATATGTATGCAATGTTCAGAAGGCAGCCCACCCCCCCCCACCCTCTGCAAAGCCAGATTTTCAAAAGATGCTTTTTCCTGAGGTACACTGTATACACCAAGAATAGAAATGAGTTCACTATTTGGAGATCACCCTGAGAGAACTTCAGAGTTAAACCAGAGCTTGAAGATGGTGACTGTGGAATAAAAGGGATACCAACAAGTAGAAATAAAGGTGTACCTACAGGTATTAGATTTGTGGGATAAATGGCCTCTCTGCAATGGCCCCTTGCCAGTTCCCTCTCTGGAGAGAAAACTAAATGACATAACTAGGCCAATGTTCATTATATCTTAGTGCTTTGGGAAGTTACAGGACTATGTAAATAGGAAGTGAGGGGCTCAGGAATTAAGAAGCGTTACCTGACCCAAAAATGAAGTATCACCCTCAAAGCCTTAATCTTTTCTGTGGGTGGAGAGGGCAGGAAGAATAAAGCACTTTAAGGAGGTACATGGACTTTTTTAGATACATATTTGTTATGCCTGCTTAATTTTAAAAGGAGTCCCAAACATACAAAGTGCTCTCCTGCCTCACTATCTCGGTTTATAATGCTGTATTGTCTGGATGTTCTTCCTTGAACTTCACCACTTAGGGTACTCTGGCATCAAACACACCTGGATATGAATTACAACTCAGACACTTTATAGAGTCAGGTAGCCATAATCACCTCTTTTAAGCCCAGTGGCCTTGTCTATAAAATGAAAACCAGAGTATCTTCTACTGCATGGTGTTAGTGCAAGTAGGGACTGTGTGCAAAGCACTCAGGAGCACAGACAGCTGGTACTCACTGGCCATTATACCACCACCATACTCCACCTGCACAGTTCTTTCTTAGACTCAGCTTCCCAATGCCGCACCCCAGGCTATAGGACTCTCCTATACTAAAAATTGCCTGTACGTAGTCCTATTCCCTTATCCTAGACTTCTGTTTACCATGAATCTAAACTAATGCCTTCTGGTTTATAGATGCACAAGTTACCTATGATATTCAGAATACATAAAAATTTTCCACAGGAAACATTTTAATAGTTGGCATTTCAGGCTGTGTACCTAATGGAGCAGGAGATTTTAACCTAATGGTTGAAGGTGGAAGAGATGACTTTGATGACTTTCAAATCACACCATAATTTTCCATAAGGCTGGGGTGGCTAACGATTGGTATAAAATAGCTCCAAATGAGAATCTCAGTCAGGGACTGGCAAAGTATAGTCCTTGGGACAGCGTGCTGCCTGTTTTCATAAATATGGTTGGATTGGAATGCAACCACATTCATTCATTTACATATTTCTATGGCTACTGTCATAGACATATGCAGAGACAACTTGTTATAATAGAGACTATATAGTCCTTTAAAGAAAAAGGCTGCCAATTCCTACTAAGTCATACATCCCATGTTGCAATAGCCACAGGTATCACACTTATTACAGTGAAAGAGAAACTTTGGAAAGTCCATCTAATGGCATGAAAACAAAAAAAGCGTAAGAGACAAAATAAGCAAAAACTTGCAGCTTGCACAAAAGGCGTGGATTAATCCTTGAATACTGATTGACTCTTATACGCTTATTTCCCCCTGTAAGAACCGTCCAAGTACACTTTCAGAATGCGTGTGTTAAAAATGGATTGATGGTATGTCAACAGCAGGGCAATAAAATAAACTTGCTTGCTCAAACCTTAGCTTTTTCCTTTATTAAAACAACAAACTACTCTAAAATGTATTTTTTGAGGTACTGAACTTGGTTCAGACGTAAGATATTCAATGTCACATTAATGAAACTTCAATTCTATAGAAAATTCATCTTGAACAAAGGCCATTCTGTGTACAAAGTGGGTGAAAAAACATACCTATTAATATTTATAAAACAATTTTCACCATCAAAAGCACATTGTTACATGCTTGATAGATTATACAAATGAATTTTCCTTCTGAACAAATATCAAAGAAAGCTGCAGTACTTTTATTCATAGGGTGTTTTGTTTTTTTGTTTGGTGGTGTGAGATTCTGTGAGCTGCTAATTCACCAACCTAGATGAAGAACCTGACTGGCAGTTAACAGCCTCTGACCCTAGAGTTTTAATGGAAGAATGTGCTACAGAATTAAACAAAAGAAAAATACATTTCAGAGGGGAGACTCACACATAAAAGAAACATAAAAACAGCAGGAAATAAGATTGTCATAATTAGTTTGAAGAATAATCTGTCTTCAAGCAATGTACTGCATTTGATTTGTGATAAATAACCATAATATGCTATTGAAATGCGCCCTGCCAAGATGGCCTTAAAATGCTGATACTTTCAAATTAGTTCCACTTTCCATTAAATATTGATGTTCCACGAGTTGTATACTTTTTAGAACTTTTCTTGAGTTGCTATGAAAGAGAAAATAGATACAAGGCGGGAGGGGGATTTGGGTGAAGGTAGAGAACTGAAAATGTTCTTGAAAATAGAGTCTTGTGTATAAAGAGAGAAACACCCACCAACAACATGGGCACTTGCTAACACGAAGCAACAGGGTGGCTATTTAGGGAAATTAATCTGAAGCAAGAAAGGGATCTGATGTGCGAGTTAACTTTGGATCAGTCAGCATTAGTTCTCATGGAATCTTGGCCAGGTAGTCACTGTTTTAAATTGGGTTTCATTCCGTTAACTTGGTGAATGGATCTGGGCTCCAACTTTCAAAATGGCTTAGAGCAGGAATTTTTAATCTTGGGCCTACTGGTAGGTTAAGTAAGATCATTATCTATCAGGGGTGGGAGGTGGAGAGGCTGTAGGACAGTAACAACATCCCTGGCCTCCACCCACGAGAGGCAAGTAATATCGTACATTATCAGTTGTGATAAACAGAAATGGATGTTAACTAGGTGATTACAATGTGGTGATTACATGGAATCATGTTTTATATCTGAAACTAATATAATGTTATATGTCAATTACATCTTAATAAAAAAAAATGTCTCTAGACATTGCCAAACATCCCCTGAGGGGACAATATGCCTGCCCTCCTCACTGAAAAATCTTATTTTAGAGATACCAAAGAA